TGGAACACGGTTGAATTCTTTTAGATCTGATGTCGTGGAGAACTTACGTGGCAAGTTTAAACAGAACTCTTAATGAGTTTAACAACTCAGAGCGAGTTTGAAACTCTATAAAAGAGTTAATTTAAACCGAAATTCGGTTAATAAGTCAAGTACTAAAGCTTCAAAATTTCGGTTGCTGAAAGATCCTCTAAAATCTCTCCCCTCTAGAATTTCCACTCTTTTTATGATCTGCCAAAAGATGTTCCAAGATCAAAAAGTCAGCCCTAACTCAGTTGAGTTTGTTGAGATTTATAGGGGGATTAAGGGGTGTAACCCCCCTAATCCACTCCTAAGTGGGCAAAAATCCCTCAAATCGTGGGAAAAAACGGTTTTGAAACCGTCCAACTCGTTTGAATGAGTCATACGCATAGACTGCATTCTGGAATGGAATCTGCGTTTGAACGTAGTATTTGCAAACTATGTTAGCGGCTTTTGGAAGCTGTGTTGGGCAGTAGATGGAAACTACATTGGTAGCAGTTAGAAGCTGCGTTGGGCAGCAGATGGAAACTGCGTTGGCAGCAGTTAGAAGCTGCATTGGTAGCATCAAGAGCTGCGTTTCATAGCATTTAAGAGCTGCGTTTGCCAGCGTTTAGGAGCTGTGTTTGCAGCTGGATTGAGGCTGCGTTTGCAGCTGGATTGAAGCTGTGTTTGCATTACTTTGACTCTGGAACGAGGTCACTTACGTTTTCATTTCTGGGGTGCAGAGATGAGCTTTGCATCTTGGACTGAAGAGATCGTTGATTTGTAATCTCTTTCGTTAGAGCGTTACAAAGATTATTGTTTTGTAATATTTGCTTTAGTTCCTTGAAATGTGAGAGCCATCAAATTATAACTCTCACAGTTGATTGTGAAGGCTGCTGAGTCAGAACTTTCATCAGTTGCCGTGAAGGTCGTTGAATTATAACATTTCTCGATCTACGTGAAATCTTCTAATTGTAGTTTTTACTTGTTGATATGAAAGTCATTTGATTGTAACATTCATCATTAATATGAAAGTCATCAGATTGTAACTTCCTTTGTTGGTGTTTGATAGGGATCAACTATCTATTGTGATTTTTAGATAGCCTACAACTACCAAGCATAAAAACTTGTGCTTAGTACCAAGCATACCCATTTTTCTCATATATATATATATGCGCGCGCGCGCGCGCACACACACACACACACACACACACACACAAAATTTAGAGTTTTTTTTACGATTTTTAAATTTTGAAGGAGTTTTTTAAAATTTTTGAGGTTAATTTTAGCAAATTTTAATTTTTAGGTGTCTAAGGGTAATATCTTGAATTCATCTTATTTTATTTCCAAATTTTAGAATTTTAGGGTGGTTTTTTATAATTTGAACTTTTGAAGGTGTTTCTATAATTTGTGAGATATTGAGGGTGTTAATTAAAATTTTTAAATTTAAATGTCAAAAATTTTAGGTGTATCATGGTAATCTCTTGAATTCATCTGTGTTGTTTGTAAGTTTTAAAATTTTAGAATTTTAATGTGCTTGTCTGTAATTTAAACTTTTGAGGGTGTTTCTATAATTTTTGAGACATTAAGGTGTTAACTGTAAATTTTAAATTCTTTGCAAACTGATGTTAATTTTTTAATTTCATATTTTTTATTTTAAGTTTTGAGACATTTGGATGAGTTTTATAATTTTGAACTTTTTAGGGTCTTTTCTGCAATTTTAAAACTTTTTATGGTTTTTTTTGCAATACTTCATGTATTATAATATGTTATCTACTTGTAATTTCTTTATCTTAACAAACTAATATCATTTTTATGTTTTATATATTTTATTAATATTAGTTTTTTAAAATTATTAAGCTAAACATGGTTCACATAGGATTAGGATAAGATATGATTATGATTAGGATAGATTAAGATATAAATAAAATATTTAAAATAGTGAAGGGTAATATTGACCATTGAAAATTAGAATTTGATTATAGATAAGTTAGTTCAAACTATAAAAGGATATATTTGTCTAAAAAAGATTTTCCGAACTCGTGCTTTTAAAGGGAGTATGATATATATATATAATTCCGTGCTAGGCACGGCTTAGTATTTAAATAAGTGTGAAACAACTAAATAATAAGATACAACTTACATCCAAAAAATTGCTGAGTGAATATGACTTTTAGGCCCCGTTTGGCAAAGGGTTAATGAAGATGAGTTAAAGAGAAGGATTAATGTACTTAGCCCATTTGATAATCCGGATGACTAAATTATTAACCTGTTAAATAAGTTTTATTTTAGCCCTTATGATCAGTTTTAATGTTTGGGAATAACAATGATTTTGATTATTTTCTTTATAATTAGAAGGGTTAACTCTTATTCCATCTAAATAGGAGTATTAGTAAACCCCTCATTTTGAGAGGTTAACTCATTTTAACCCCTCTAGAGGGGTTAACTTAACCCTTCTATATTTTTTATGTTTGGCAAATTATGAAGGGTTAACTCACTTTAACCCAGTGGCGGAGCCAGGATTTTAATCCTATGGTGTCCTATAGATACATCGATAATGGTGGAAACTACATCTCTCTCAACATAAGCCACCAAACTATCATTAAGCTGAAAAAATTCGAACCCACGCGCATGATGGATTCCTTGCGAGATTCGAACCCGCGCGCATGTTGGGTTCCTTGAGACCCTTTTCCGCTAAACCATCTATACTTTTGTTATTTTTATATGTGCTCTCTGGTAGATATTCAGTTTTTACTGGTGTCCTGGGAACCCAGAGGCACCCATTCAGCTCCGCCCCTGCTTTAACCCTTGTATAGATTTGTTGTGTTTGGCGGGTTAAGAAGGGGTTAAGTCTCCTTAACCCCTCACTTAACCCTTTGCCAAACGGTACCTTAAGTTTCAAACTTTTTGCCGTAACATAAATACCGTTTAAGGTTCAAAAGTTCACTATAGCATGAATAGACTTTTGGAGAGGCAAAATTTGTCTGTACCATTAACAGCGGTATAACATTTTAAACTCTACTGTAGCATGAATGGTGTTCAACTATTGCATGAAGAGTAATTTAAGGTTCTGCTTTTATGTTTAAAGTAGTAGGTATATACGTTACAAGACATTAATGTGTTTTTCAAATACGTTATGATTTTGGCTAAATTATCTTGTCAGTACTTTTTAGTAAGACCATGTTTACAATATGAGATTTTTTGCCCTTTTGGCAATATTATAATATTAATATTGATTTTTCCTTCAATTAGGTATTGTTTTATACAGAAAAAATAACCATGTTAGTGCTTTTATGTAGAAAAATAACAAAACTTATTTTTGGAAATTTTTAAAAAAATTCAATGTGGTATTATTTTTGATATTAATACCATAATGATGCTGAAGCACAAAGTACCGCATTGTAAACAAGATCCTACTAAAAATGCCAGTTTGCTAATTTAGCCCCACGACTTTTGTCTAATAAAAGGTCAAGTTGGGAATCCTCAAGCAATAATTTTGCCATCTCAAATAAGTTTTTGAAGTTTTGTTCTTTTTCTTCTTTCTCAAATTTAAGGATGTTCGCCAAACATCACTATTCTTCGAAGCATGGAATTTGATGGAAGGAAGATAGTTTTCAGTATAATGTTGTCTCAAATAACTATGGAACAACTACTTATGTGCAACAGGATTATTTTGTTTTGTTATTTCATGCAACTAATTTTGTAGTGATTTTAAAATTCTATGACTATAATTTGTAATTGCGATCGTTTGGTTCTATACACCGCGGGTGACTCAGATGGTTAGGAGGTTTCAAAATTATTATATTTTGTTATATTCTCTTTTTAGAAAATAAGATAAAATATCAACTACATTTTCATCCTTTTTTGTATTTTCTTTTGAATATTTATTATAATTTTCTAAAATAATGTTTCTTGTAAATCATTGGAAATTTTTTAGTTTTTCAAATATTTTTAGAAAATTTAGACTTTTTGGAATGTTTAATCTTTAAAAATTAAATACCTAATATTTTTAAGTTTTAAAAATTTTAACTTTTTTATTTGTTTATTTGTTTCGAATTTTCATAATTTTTGATGTTGTCTGGAAAAATATACCTTTTAATGAATTTTGTGGAAACGTTGTTTATTTTTTAAATATATAATTTTTTTGATTATTAAAAAAATATTTTTAGTTAGTTATTTTTAATAGTTTTAGAAAATTTTTAAGATTCTATTTGTGTGTGGTAACGTGTAATTCAAGATTGATTACAATTATTTCAAATTAAAAGTGTGATTGCAGCCATTTTTCATGTAGTCACACCTTTTGAAGTAGCAACTGAAGTGGGTCTTGCAGTTTTGGAGATTAAGGGGTTGTTTGGTCGAGTGGTTTTATAAAAAACTTTATAGAAAATGGTTGATAGTGACAATTTTGTAAGTAAAATTTTTCTGGAGATTTTGATAATCTGTGTTTGGTTAAAAAAATATATAGAAAATTTTTCCTATAAAGTATAGAAAAGTACCCCATTTTATAGAAATCAATTTCCGCTCAAAATGGACGGAAATCATCCAGAAATCTGACGCATATATTAAAAAAATAATTAAGTACATCGGTACCCTTCCCATGTGATTTCCCATGAACATTGTTAGTAAGCTATTTTCTATAAAGTGACATCCAACCAAAAAAAACAACAACATCTTTTCTATATAATTAGAAACTTTTTCATACTTCGAAACAAATAAAGAAATAGCAGAAAACAAGAAATATGGTACACTTTGAGTTCTTTAAATTTTTCCTACAAATTTTACAGGGAAAAAAAATAAATTTTGAATAATTTTCTTTTTCCTCTTTTCTATAGAAATTGAACCAAACAGTTCCTAATATGATTATATGAAAATAGGGAGAGCAATACGAGAGGAACCCATTTATTTGACCAATAATTAGACTAGCTTAAGCCTCCGTTGCTCCGCGGAAAACTATACCAGAAGAGGGAGCCGTGATGATATCTCAGTTGTTTTCTCTCGAACGAGAGCCTCAGAGAAAGAGGGAAAGAAAGAGAGATGGGAAGCACGGCCCTGCTCTCTCACCCGCAGCTGAGCTGCATCCTCCGCCGGAGTCCGTTAAGTCAGCGGTACAGTGCTCCGCGGAGCACCAAAGTTTCCCTTTGGAAGATCGAAATCTCTCCCAAGTCTCGAAAGCCACTGCAACGTTGCTTGGCTTTGGATGAAGATGGGAGAGAGCAGCAGCAGCAAACAGGTGGAACTGGGGCTGCCCTCGAGGAAAGGCCTGGTACAACAATTTCTCATCCTTTTTTTTTGCAATTTAGTACGTTTTTTTCTCTAATTTCGTCATTTGGTACTTTAGCCTGAGCTTTCCGTTTCCAATAGGAGTAACTTTTTGGGTACCATGTATTTTTTTTGGGTACAATAACGATCAGCAATGGGTTTTTTGTTTGAGATTACACGGAGTAAGAGAGAGCAAATTGAGAATTTTTCTTGAGGTTCTCATTAGCGCAAATAAAATAAATACTAAGCATGAGTGTGGTGATCAAGTAAGTGCATTTGATATGATTAACATCCCCTTAGAAGCTCGAATTGGATCATACTTTTAAAGTTTGTCAAGTAAAAGAATTTAAATTGTTTATTTATATAAAATTTAGTAAAGGAATCAGTATATTGATGTCATGGAGGAATAAATGACAAGGATATGGTGCATCATGGTGCTTGGTTCTTTCATTGAACGCTAAAATGATAGAAACACCATCCAACAAAATAAGCAACAACCATCTTAATTTTCATTTCATTCATGACTATATCTTGCTTCTTGATGCACCAAGAAGTAACAAAACATCCAAAAGATAAGAGATGAATAAGAGATATGTTATGTAAAAACATCAGCCCACAATCATTAGATATGCATGAAGCCAAAGAGAAGAAGCAAGTGAGAGCAAGGCAAAAGATCAAGGTCTATGGAGATAGAAAATAATCCCTATAAAGGCAACATATTGAGTGTTTATGATAGCGAAGCATACTAATGACGTGCCACATATGTAATATACGGTTTTGAGATGATATCGTAAGATAGACATCACTGACTAATTACCAATAACAAATGTTATGATGTAACTCACCACCATCAGACGGATTCTTTGTTGAAGTTCACTAGAAGCAAAAGCTAGCTGATCATCCATCAAGTAAGCATGATAGTCTTGATAGATCATGTTAGGACTTAGGAGTGTACTTCTAGGAAGGTACATAAACAAGTTTGAAGTACAAGAAATACCGAAATGGACCAAGACCTATCATCGAAAGTGTTAATGGAGACACTGTTATATTAAGTTCTTCATGTAGTAAGTGTGACATGAAATGACATGGATCATACTTGACTAAAGAAAACTATTCCGATGACCCACTTGGCTAAATTTCTCCAAACTAGTACAAAGAACCTTTTTGAGATCCAAGTGAAGACAGCAAGCTTGATGTTGAAGAAGAGAGAAACTCATTTTTTCCAATCTCTATCTCAATTAGAATACAAAAGAAAAGGAGAGGATTAATGAGCAAATCATACTTCCAGCAAACCCTAATCTTTATCCAGTAACAAAACTATCTAGATTCACAACAAGTCAAACAAGTTTGATGAGATCAACAGAGCTAATTGATCTATAGATTATAGGTTAGCTTTCATAACATGTGAGATAAGGACAAGGAATAAGTGAAATAGTAAGAAAATTTTTCTTTCATTTGTCATTACGTTAATGCCCACGTATACACAACTATAGATGTGGTATACATATGCTTATTTTGTGGAGGCTGAAGTGCCATACCGCCATTGCAATTCTTCTTTGAAAAGGCTTAAATGTGTTTAGTTCCAACATAGGTAAGGAGATTCTTAAGAAAAGATCTTTACTAGGAGTAAGCATCGGTCTAGGGAATGGTATAGGAATTAGCCAATTAGGGATGCAGATCCTAAAATGCTGGTTAAAATTAGGGCAATTACGCAAAAGAGATTGTAAAGTTCACCTCATCTTTGACTCATGCATTCTTTTTCTACAACTTAAATATCGAGTTATTAGAAAATTGATAAGAGTTTGTACAATCGAATGTTACTTTAGGGACGTGCTTGCAAAAGGGATTTTAAAGCTCACCTCAAAATTTAGTAGTCTTTCACCAGATTTTTTCTTCCTTGAGAGGGAAAAAAAAAGAAAAAAAGAAAAGTAATTGGCAGGTCTTCTGTTGCTTCATATGCCCTTCATGTTTGAAAAGAAATTTGACTATTTGGTTTTCATCTTGTACTAGGTATTAGTTATTAAAACAAATTTGTCATCCAGTGTTTCACTGCAGTAGTTGAGCTTTTGTACTGCAATTAGTAATATCTAGAAGAATAAAACCGTTCATACTCCAATAGTTCTAACATTTTCAATTGATGGTTTTTGGTGTAGTTAATAGTTTACAGGAAGAAACAGAAGAAAATTTTCAGCAAGAGGATTCACAGAACTCTCTTTATAGTTTTCTTTACCCCAGCAAGGACCTTCTTCCGGATGACAAAGAAATGAGCATATTTGATCATTTAGAGGAGCTCCGCCAAAGAATATTTATATCTGTTTTAGCAGTTGGAGCTGCAATCTTAGGCTGCTTTGCCTTTTCTAAGGATTTGATCGTGCTCCTTGAAGCACCTGTTAGCTCTCAAGGAGTTCGCTTTCTACAACTTTCTCCTGGGGAGTTCTTCTTTACAACTATTAAGGTAACTTTTCACTGCACCGAACTTTCCTAATTAAACGGGCAAATTTCTTTCTTTCTTTTTTGCTCGTTTGGTTTTTCTGTTAAAGGACAATGTCTCGTTCGTTTTGCTTACATAGGTTTGAGTTAGTTTATAGTTGGAACCAGAGATTTATAACCCTATTTAATAACCAAACAAGATGCACTTTGGCCTAATCAATTTTGAAATATAAGTTATTGGGGATGTTACTGTCCATGTTCAGGTCTAGGCCTTTTCTGATCTGGAAGTATCAATTGGGAGGTGGGAGGGGTTCTTATGTATTATGTTATTGGGCACATATTTATCAGCTAGCAGAACTTGGAGCTAATCCAGATTAATAAGCAACATCAGCTAATGAATGGGTAAGATTGCCTTCTTTATGGGTAGAAAGGGTGTGGATTGAAGTGCAGCCTGAAGCCTTAGTTATATTGTAGATCTTGCAGCACTTTCTGCCTAAATGCAAGTTTATCCTTATTTTTTGTGTATCAAAAGTTCTAGCCTAGTGTTGCAATGCGACTAACTATTTTTGATAAATACTATTCTTGTTTATTTTCCAAATTCTGAATGCATACGTCTGTCCGTCCTTTCTTTTCCAAATGCTGAATGCAAATGCTAATAGTTTTTCTGGATTAGATATCCTATGCTGTAAACTGGATCCTTAATAAAAGAAATTGATTGATTTCCATTAGAATATAAAATGATAATATTCGGCCCTCATCATAATTTCAGAGTTTTGGTGTAGCGGAAGGAACCATCCAGGTTCAAATCCCATCAGACACATATTTAAAATGGATTTCAAAAATATTGTTGTGTAAAATGTTCCAGGTTTGAGCCTGTAAAAGAGTGCTCAACTTGTAGGGGCGTGTTAGAGTTTACAATTATTATCCTCAACCCTCATTACAAAATTGGAGTTTTGATGTAGTGGAGGGCATCTTTATAACTTCAATTATTGTAATTGTTAGCTACCTGCTTTCAGTATTAGCTAATTATCTAGAATTTCCATCACAATGGATGTGTTTAATAATTGATGCAGGTGTCTGGATATTGTGGGCTTCTCCTGGGTAGTCCCATAATTCTTTATGAGATCATAGCCTTTGTTCTCCCGGGTCTAACAAGGGATGAAAGAAGGTTCCTTGGACCTATTGTGCTGGGGTCCTCAGTGCTCTTTTATACTGGCATTGCCTTCTCCTATGCTGTTCTGGCACCAGCAGCCTTGAACTTCTTTGTCACCTATGCTGAAGGGGCGGTGGAATCATTGTGGTCTATAGATCAGTATTTTGAGTTTGTTTTAATTCTCATGTTCAGCACTGGCCTGTCCTTTCAGGTAAAAGTTTGAACATCTTCATACCTATCTTGGTTCTTGAGCAATTTGTGTATTAGAATTAAAACCCAGTTTATGAGTTCTTTAAGTTTATCGTTATTTATTATAATCTTTTATTTATTCTCTCAATAATTAAAACCCACTTTATGAGTTCTTTAAGTTTATCATTATTTAATATAATCTTTTTATATATTCTCTCACTATGTTACCTGGGTATTTCGAATCTGAACATGTACCCATACCCCACACGTACCTGTACCCGTACAAAAACTCCTTGGACTCTACTTGCATAAATGCATACATTTATTTGGGCATGTACTCAATTACACAATACATGTTTTAATTTAAAACACTTGTCATAGATTTTTTTTTGACATATATCCTACACTTCATGCCCGCCTCTCGGAACCTGTTAGACAGGTCAGGTTCCGTGATTTTGAGGGTCGTTTGAATGTCTTCAAAAACTAGTGATTTTCCAATTTATAATCCACATAATAAAAGAAACGTAAAACTGTATAGGACTTCTAATTCTCATCTTTGTTCTCATATAAATGATTAATTCCAATATATAATTAATAATTTATGTGTATATAAATATTGGTATAGCCATGTCCCCTTACCCTACATTTTACAAATTTGCAGTATCCCGCACCCATACTACCAGCACCTGTACCCTCACCCGTACCCATGCAACATTGTTCTCTCACTACCTGAGTGTCTTTACAAAAATACATATCTTAGATGCAATCTGAAAAGTTAATGGGTTATGTTGTGTGCACCTAGGTTATTTTGTGCTTCTACTTTAGTATGACCAATTGTTGTCAACATAATCATTTAACAAGGTGCAACTCATAGTTGTATGATCATAAATAGAATCAATCCATCACTAACCTGAGTTTCATGACTGGTTGCAAAATCTGCAGATCCCAACATTTACTGTTTGATGTGAAGTTTCTGACTAAAATGTTGTTTCAATTAAGAAACTTCAGATGGTTTATGTAAAGGTCTCTCTGCCCTTGGTATACTATCAGATTAGCTGCAATGCTTGTTAAACATAGTGTTTAATCTCCTCAACTCAGCCTCCCTCAACCAGTCATATGCCATGCTGCTCTAAATGTCGTTAGCTCTACTTCCAACAATAAGAGGCTCCTAAACTCAGCCTCCCTCAACCAGTCATATGCCAAGCTGCTCTAAATGTCGTGAGCTCTACTTCCAACAATAAGAGGCCAAGTTTATGACAATATGATATACCATGTTATGGAAGGTATTTAACAAATATTACTCGATATTGCAATGTTGCATATGCAACCATATTTAAATGATAGCATATGCATATTATATCATACAATGCACTAAGATGTAAATCTCGGGGGGATCCTCAATCAAATCTAGCTTTTGGATATTAGGTAGTTCCTAGTTGGTCTCCGGTTACGCACAAGGAAACTCATAGACTTCGTACTGATTGTTAATATTAAACCAATGTTTAGAAATATTGCTAGAGATAAGTGGTGATCCATGAACAGTATCTGTAAATAATTTCTTTTTAATTAATGGCAAAAGAATTGCTACTTTTTTATTCAGATAGAAAGAATTCTCTTCATAGTTCCACTTAATATTCAACTTTCTAATTGTAGGTTCCAGTCATACAACTGCTGCTAGGACAAGTCGGCTTGGTATCAGGGGATCAAATGTTATCAATCTGGAGATATGTTGTGGTTGGTGCTGTTGTTGCTGCTGCGGTGCTGACACCATCAACTGACCCCCTCACCCAAATGTTGTTGGCAGGGCCGTTGCTGGGTCTCTACTTGGGTGGTGCATGGATGGTGAAGCTTATTGGTCGCTGATACCTTTATTTTAGGCATAAACTTTTCCATCGAAAAGGGGGCAGATTATACTGCCAATGTATATTATAAGCACAAGAGTAAGAGGTAAATCAGCTTTTGACTATCAATGTTATTCCTTGACAATTTCTGCTGGTAGTGTATATTTTCCCCCACAGAAATAGACGTGAAGCCTAAGTTTCCATTATTCATATTATCATTACATGTAACTGTTTTGTATTTTTGATCCTTAGTTTTACTTATAGCAGTCTATTTGTAAGTATTTGTCGAATAGGCCGACTGGATCAGACATTTGGCATTGCATTACTTGTAGGCGTTGCTGGACATGGTAGTTAAGAAACCCAAGATCTCATTTCTTAAACAGAAGCATGTAATGTGACAAACAAGTGGATCCTATATAATAGGAGGTGCTATTTGGTTTTCCCAAACAATTTCATGTTTTTTGGTTATTAATAGTATGAAAGTCGAATTTTAGGCTCATTCAAAATATTCTTTGAATAGAGATAAGAGCCTTTCTGAGTTTATATGCTAGAGGCCGGGAGTTCGAGTCCTGTTGTTCCGAAACTAAGTCTCTTCTTATTTGTTGTTTCTTAGAGAGTTTCTTGACATGTTATGACCCAATGATTTCATATATTATCGTTGATTCTCTCCCCAAGTATTCAAGTTTAGTTTTTATAATTAGATATTCAGAATTAGCAAGCACTGAGATTAGACAATAACTAGATTCTAGAATTATTTTTATTTTGGTATTTTTTGTGGAAAGAAATTTGTTCCGTGATTGATGGCCGAATGTACTGTCTGCTATATGATGTTCTATCTCACAATAAAAGGCTCGATATAGGTGGAAGGATATGATATAAATGGTATATCATTGAAAATCGTTTTAACCAAGATTATTATGCCTGATTTTTAATTTTCTTCATGACCTATTCTTGTACTTAGAAGATCAAAGCACGACATACGTTAAAAGGATTACCGTCATTCACGTCTTTTTTCCCAATAAAAAAATAAATTTTTTGGCACCAACTAAAAAAAAAAATCAAACAACTTCTAAGGAAATTTAGACTTGCAACAAAGCCTCTCTGTAAAATGTAGAAAGCAATCGGTGCATAGGTTGATCTTAAGCTGCTACCGTGGAAATTAACCTTGTACCTTTTGGGAGCTTGAATCATTTCACTTTATATTAATTGTACATATTGAAGCCTTGACATTAGGAATGATATTCATTTGGAGTTCACCATATTCCTGGTTTAACATCCTCCTCTCTTCCCTTTCCATTCTTCCGTCCTCTTTCACTATATCTGAACAAGAAGGGATATATTTTTAGGTATGTGGTATCAAATCAATGGTGGAAAGCTACAAAGGTATTGCGATCTCATCAGAGTATCATGCAAAGAATAAAAAAGTCGTATGTGAGAAAACTTTCGTTATACCTAATAACTACCTAGTATGATGCAGTGTATGAGAAAGAGATGTCAGTTATGCCGTTGATGATCAGTGTTTAAGTGTCAGCCACAATTGTTTATTTTAAGTGTCAGCTACATTTTTAGTGTATATTTACTTAAATCTTGGTGAATCCAGCGCCTCATACATCATATCTTTATCCTATTATGATTTAGTAAACTTTTATGGTCAAAACCACTCCCTATGACTATTGCCACCCTAATTATAAACAAGGGGAAAATTATTTACGCTTTGAAAATCACATTTGTTAATAGAAAACCCTGTATGAAGTCCAACTTGTTTGACCAAGACCCGTTCTTTAGTACAACAAAAGTTGTCTTCATGTGATTTGTGTTTAAAGTACAATTGAAGGGTAAAAGTATTAGGTAAAGTGAGCAATGAAGTATCGTTGTAGATTTGTGGAGAAGGAAATGTAGCTCGGGATTATGCAAGGAGATTAGTATAGTGCTTGCTGAGTGAAGCAGAATAAGGTAAGCGATGTGAACAAGATTGGGCTGAAGTTATTATTGGAACAAGAAGCGGATGTTTAATGAAAGGTTTATTCATAATTTTGCATTAGTTAATTTTATCTTCAGTCTGGGGGGCCATTGCATTGCTTATTTAGTCCATGCTAAATTCGCTCGGAATCTGAAGATTTGTGAGGAAAATTTTCACAATACTGATATGAGATGCGCAGCGCTTAAATGCTTTACAGGTTGCAGAAGAAGTTGGACCAATGCTGTGAAGAGTAAGCAAAGAAGGGAACCAAAAGAACCCGGGGATGTTGTATATGTGGTGGGTTGCTTTTGTTTGGAAGAGAAATATGCAAATCTCTATGCTCATTTTACCAGAACCATAAGCATAGTAAGGGTCTGATGCGCAGAAAATCTTATGGCTTTTACAGATCATTTATTTTTAAGGATGGCCAAGAGTAGAACATTTGTATAAATCATGTGTTTTGAGATGGTTTTATGCACTGAAAGAGATACTGTAAGAACCTTTTTCATTATACATGTATTAAGTGGTTTGTTTTTTTTTTCTAATCTTTTCCCTGATCTGAATGTAGAAATTGCACTTGCATGTGATATCTGAGAAGTGTTAAGAGTGAGGATATCTCTCATGCGCGGTTGGAGAGAGATCTTAAACTTGATCTTCAGTTTTCATGGGTTACATACTTACATGCAAGAACTTTTTTTCATTATATAGATTAGATTTTGTGTTTTCTATTCTTTTTTCCTATTCTGATGGATAATGTACATCTTCCTAGTAGGTGAAAAATGCCTCCCATTATTTTGGTTGGAGGCAAATATGTTGGACTCAATTCTTTTATTTTTATTTTTGTTGATTATCTGAACTCAATTCCTTTGCTGTGTTTGAAATATCGGTTGATGTTAAACATGCTGTTACGCTATACTTTATAGATGAGATTAATATCATTCATTAACCTTTCACATATGCGGTACTAAGTCACTTACTTAATTTTGTCTTTATTCTCCAAGAAAGGAATATTAAATTTTCTAGCTTTTTTTTTATCTTTCATCCAAACATTAGAAAATCTTGATAGAGAGATTTTCATCTTTAATAATAAATTGAAATAAAAGTGGTTTAAATTATCATATTGGTACTTTTAATCTTATTTCCTAATTAGTCGGGGTTGCCAACCCCGACTATTTAGGACAGCAAAAATTAGGTTTAAGGCTTCTAATTGGAGTTTAACAATCTCCTAAACAGTCGGGGTTGCCAACCCTGACTGTTTAAGAATGAGATTAAGCTGACGTGGCAAAAAGTAGGTCGATTTTGATAAATAAAAAAAATGGGTCGGTTTTGAAAATAAAAACATGGTTTGGGTCGGTTTTAAAAATTTCTTCTATTCACTTACGACTTTATGAATTTAATATCATTTTGCTACTATTTTTATATAGAAGAAATCACCAAGTTAGTATATTTATTAGTAGAAAAAAACTTAAATAATCAAAATTGGTTTTAGTGTTGATATTAACCATTGTTGACTTAGCCTAGGTTGGTGACTCTCAAGTTTTTTTCTTTTTATCTTCTCTTGACCTCCTTTTGGTGAGTCAGGAATGTAATTTTAATGTATGTTTTTCTGTATAAATATATATATAACGAGCATGAAAGTTTTTCCTGCTTCTTCATAAAATAATACCATATTTAGTCAACATAAAATAATAATGTTTCTTTTCTGAGGAAGATGTCAGAACGTTGAGAAAACCATTTCTAGCCTGGAAAGGCGTTTCCAACATTTGTGGGAAGAACAAATTTTCACTGTAGACCCAAACCAATTTTTTATTACCAAAATCGACCGATTTTTTTTTTAATTACCAAAATCGACCCGTTTTATGCCACGTAGGCGTAATCCAGTTTCCTAATTAGTCGGGGTTGCCAACCCCGACTGTTTAGGAGTTGTTAAACCGGGTTTTAAGGCTTCTAATCGGGGTTTAACAACTCCTAAACAGTCGGGGTTGGCAACCCCGACTAATTAGGAAATTGGATTAAGCCTACGTGGCATAAAACGGGTCGATTTTGGTAAAAAAAAAAAACTCGGTCGATTTTGGTAATTAAAATTCTGTTTGGGTCTACAGTGAAAATTTATTCTTTGTGGGAAACATCCCCTTTCACTCTTCTTCCCTCTGAACTTTTCGCTTCACACTCTCTCGTTCCCCTTCCTCCATCGTAAGCTAAAACCCTCTCCCAAAACCCTAACCCTAAATCTCCGTTCCTCGAACAATGAGCTCTCTCTTCAGATTCAGATCAGCGGCTCACCGCGTCTCCTCCAAATGCTCATTCGAAATCCTCAGATCCTTCTCTCTCGCCGCAAAACCCCAGGAATCCGAAACCCTAGAGCCCGCCGATCCCCGAAAACTCCCAACAGATTACGATCCTTCGAACTTCGACCCCTCAAACCACCGAGATCCCCCAACTCCCCGAGTCTGGCGCCTCGTCGACGAGGTATCGTCCCTTACTCTCTCCGAAATCGCTGATCTCTCGCAAATCCTCGTCCAAAAGATCGGCATGAAGGAACCCCCGACCGTCGCCATCATTG